CTTTCGCGTTCGTCAGACACGAACCCAGTAAATTTGCGAATTCCTGACCACAAATATGTTCATCTTCTTTTCTTGTCGTATTAATAAAATCTGAAGAATAAACAAAACGATTATTTTTGTTACTATACATGTGAACATGTGTATGCAATGTGTTTTTATACATATATGCACATAGCTAAGCCCCGCAAATATATTCGGAGAACCAAAAAAAACTTTTAAATATGCCTCTAAAAAATTTTAGAGTCCCAAATGAGGTACATAAGGCCACATATGGGCCGTTTATTTTGAAGGTGGCATAAGTCTGGAATAACCGGCATGTTCAGATACAGGTAACCGGCCATTTAAGCACAAGAGGTGTGAAGTGACTTATGCCAGTTTCAAAAAAAAGCGGCTCATATATAACCGCGTCTGAGTTTAGCACATTATGAGAGTAAGCGCTCCGAGCTGGGGCTCTTTTGTGACTATAAATATTTGCTTGAAAACTCACCGAATATGATGCTATAAATTTTATTGTGTTCCTTTTTGAAAATCTGTTTCTCCGGACTTTTTCTTACAGCTGTGTATTTCATGGCAAATCGGCGGGAAATTATGTTTTTGCGTTGATTAAAGAGACTCATGATAGCCAATTTCTGAAATAGTCATCAAAATATGAATATATTGTCCCTTCAAAAATTCATTTGTATTAGTGTTTCTGTACTCGTGACTAGTAATAGACAAGTTTCTGGTAGTAAACCGTTGCTTAACATAATAAAATTATAGTTTAAAAAACTAAAACCTCCCTATTATAATTGCCATTCGTACTGTCAACAGGTATGTAACTTGAGAATAGAAATCGCTGCATCTTTAAGGCGCATCATTATTACATAGTTACATCCCGAGCTAATAAAAGGAAGGTAAAAACTAGTGATGTATTGTGGAACGCTTTCCGTCGTTCTCTCGACAGCGAAAAATTATACTGCGGATGGCACAGCGCCGAAACCGATTTACTACGAACCAAAGTTGACAAGGTATGAAGGAAAATCATTCTACAATGCATCATATTTCTACCCTGTCGGAAACACAAACAACCAAAAAGAAGTTAAATACTAGTAGTAGAGAGCAAAAATAAGAGCGTGAAAACACAAACTGCTGTCAAACGATTCAACAGGAAGATAAATAAATGTTTAGGTAGTGAGTGAATCATTAAATAATGGCGAATTGCTGAATTTTTAAATAAAATTTAATTTAAGCATCCATCATCTGTTCACT